CAAGTGCTAATCTCTTTCACACACACACGTACATACAAACATACATACATACATACATATCTATTTATCTATCGATCTGTATATATATATATATATATATATATATATATATATATATATATAATATATATATATATACACATACATTAATTTCCAGGTTTAAATTATGAGCTCATAGCTCGAGGTTTAGTTTATAATTGGTGGTTTATTTCTAGATTAATGGTTTATTTCTTAAGCTTTTATAGAAATGAGCAATTTATCAAAAGCTTTTCTTCTACCTAGGTTTATCGCTCTATTTTTAGATTTTAAATTAGTGGTTTATCTCAAGATTTTCTAGTTAATTTAGTGGTTTATGCCTGAAGGATGATTCATGTTAAATTTAGTGGTTTATTTCTGTTTATATTTCCTTTAATTTAGTGATTTATGTCTTAAGTGTTTTGTTAAATTTGTTGGTTTATTTACTAAGATGTTTTACTAAATTTAGTGTTTTTTCTCATTTTTTTAGAGTTTTTTTAAGGTTTAATATTTTAATGGTTTATCTCACGTGGATTTTATTTTATTGGTTTATTTTTGAATGACTTTATTTTGACGGTTTAATCTTTCATTATATTTTAATAGTTTCTATATTATTTTAATGGTTTATTTCTGAAGTTTTTTTTTATTACAGTGGTTTATATTTTTAAACTATTTTTGGTTTACATAAACTTGATATTTTCTCTTCTTCCTCTTCTTGCTCTTCCTCTTTCTTCTATTTCTCTTGTTCCTGTAGTTCTTCTTTCTCTTTTCTCTTTTCCTTCTTTTTTCTCTTCCGGCTATTGCTCTTTCTTCTCTTCCTCTTACTCTTCCTCTTCTTCCTCTTCCTCTTCTTCCACTTCCTCCTCTTCTTCCTCTTCCTCTTTCTCTTGTGTTACCACTATTTCTCTCCCACTTCCTACTGTCAAGGGGAAGTTGGTGCCTTAATGGTAGTAAAGGGCTCTTAATCCAAGTAACTGGAGCTAAAGTCCTCTTCCTTGGATCAAACCTGAGAATCTACAATTTTAACGCCCACGCCGCCCCCCCCACCAGGCGCTGTATAACCCCTACGATTTTAGAGCTTAACACGTCTACTCTGCTATTTTTACACCACTGTGCGTGTGATTTACGCCACTGTGGGTGTGCTTTACACCATTGTGTAAATGATTTACACCACTGTGTGATTTACACCACTGTGGGTGTAATTTACTCCATTGTGGGGGTGATTTATACTACTGTGGGGGTGATTTGCACAACTGGGGTGATTTACATCTCTGTGGGAGTGATTTATACCACTGTGGGGGCGATTTATACCACTAAGGGTGATTTACACCTCTGTGGGGGTGCTTATACCACTGTGGGGGTGATACACCACAGTGGGGGTGATTTACACATCTGTGGAGATGATTTACACAACTGTGGGGGTGATTTATACCAATGTGATGCTGATTTACACCTCTTTGGGGGTGATTTACATCACTGTGGGTGTGATTTACATCACTGTGGGTTAATTTACACCACTGGGGGTGATTTACACCACAGTGGGTGTTATTTACATCACTATGGAAAGCTTTACACCACTGTTGGTGTGATTTACACTGAGTGTGATTTAAACCACTGGGGATGATTTGTATCACTGTGGATATGAGTTACACCATTGAGGGTATAATTTACACCACTGATGGGATGATTTACACTATGGGTGTGATTTATACTGGGTATGATTTACACCACAGTGGGTAGTGTAAATCATACCCATTACCACCTGCTCTTCCTTCTTGTTCTCCTCTTCTCCATATCCACGTGCTCCACCTCCTCCTCCTCCTACTTCTCTTCCACCACCTGCACCACGTGCTGCACCACGTGCTGCACCTCTGCCTCCTCCTCTTCCTCCTCTTTCTTCTCCTCCTACACATACTCCTCCATCTCTTCCTCCTCCACCTCCTCCTCCTCCTAGTCCACCACCACAACCACCTCCACCTCCTCCTCCTCCTCCTCTTCCTCCTCTTCTGCCACCTCCACCACCACCACCTCCTCCTCCTCCACCACCTCCTCCTCCACCACCTCCTCCTCCACCACCTCCTCCTCCACCTCCTCCTCCGCCTCCTCCTCCACCTCCTCCTCCCCCACCACAACCACCTCCCCCTCCCCCACCACCACCTCCTCCTCCACCACCACCACCTCGTTCTCCACCACCACCTAATACTCCACCACCACCACCACCTCGTTCTCCACCACCGCCTCCTACTCCACCACCACCACCTCCTCCTCTACTTCCTCCTCCTCCTCTTTCACCACCTCCACCACTACCTCCACCTCCACCACCTCCTCCACCTACTCCTCTACCTCCTCCTCCTCCTCCTCCTCCTTCTCCTCTTCCTCCTCCTTCCTTCCTCCTGGTGAAGGTGAAGGTGATGGCGGAGGTGGTGGTGTAGGAGGAGGTAGAGGAGGAGGAGGAGGTGGTGGCGCAGGTGGTGGAAGAGTCCACCAAATGCACCACCACCTGCACCACCACCTGCACCACCACCTGCACCACCACCTGCACCACCATCTGCACCACCATCTGCACCACCACCTGAACCACCACCTGCACCACCATCTGCACCACCATCTGCACCACCACCAACCTGCACCACCACCTGCACCACCACCTGACCACCACCTCACCACCACCTCCACCACCACCTCCACCACCACCTCCACCACCCCCTCACCCCCACCACCACCCCCTCCACCACCACCTCCACCACCACCTACCACCACCCCACCACCACCTCCACCACCACCACCACCTACACACCCACCACCTCACACCACCTCACACACCTCCACCACCACCTCCACCACCACCTCACCACCACCTGCACCACACAACCACTCCACCACCACCTCCACCACCACCTCCACCTCCACCACCACCACCTCCACCACCCCTGCACCACCACCTGCACCACCACCACCCCACCACCACCTCCACCAACCACCACTCACACCACCTCCCCACCTCCACCACCACCTCCACACCACCCACCACCACCACCCCACCCCCACGCTCCACCACCACACCTCACCACCACCACAACTCACCACCACCCCACCACCACCACCTCCACCACCACCTCCCCCCACCTCCACCACACACCACCTCCACCACCACCTGCACCACACACTGCACCACCACCTGCACCACCACCATGCACCACCACCACCTCCACCACCACCTCCACCACCACCCCACCACCACCCTCACCACCACCTCCACCACCACCTCCACCACCGCCTCACCACCACCTGCACCACCACCACCACCTCCTCCACCACCTCCACCACCACCCCACCACCACCTGCACCCAACCACCTGCACCACCACCACCACCACCTCCACCACCACCTCCACCACCACCTGCACCACACACCACCTCCACCACCACCTCCACCACCACCTCCACACCACCACACTGCACCACCACCACCTCCACCACCTCCACCACCACCCCCACCACCCACCACCACCACCACCACCCACCACCACCTCCTCCACCTCCTCTCTCGTATAAGCTTACCAGGAAGCGCTCCAAGGTAAGTGAGGTCTCTGAAGTCATTCTTTTCCTTCTTTTCTGTTTCTCTTAATACATCTTTATCTCTTCTTGACTGACTCCCTTCCTGCCTCTCCTATAATCCATTCCCACCTCCTGTCTCCTATAATCCTCTTTCATTCCCTCTTCCAGTCTCTATAGTCCTCTTCCATTCCAACTTCCTGTCTCCTATAATCCTCTTCCATTGCCTCTTTTCTTCTATAATCTGTAAGACTAGACCAGCTGGAGCCAACAACCAGTACTACCACCACTAGTACCACAACTACTACCACCACTACTACCACCACTACTATTACTACCACCACTACTACCACAACTACCACCACTACTACCACTACTACTATTACTACCACCACTACTACTACTACTACTACCACTATCACACTACTACGACCACTACTAGCACAACTACTACCACCACTACTACTACCACTGCTACTACCCCTACTACCAGCACTACCACCACTACTACCAATGCTTTCACTAATACCACCACTACCACACTACTACCACTGCTACTACTACCACTACTACTACTACTATCACTGCTACTACTACCACTACTACTATCACTGCTACTCTTACCACTACTACCACCACTAGTACTACTACTACTACTACTACTACTACCACTGCTACTACCACTATCACCACTGCTACTACTACCACCACTACTACTACCACCACTGTTACTACTACTACTACTACTGCCATTCCTACTACCACCACTACCACTACTTCCACTACTGCTACTACTACTAGCACCACTGCTACCACTACCACTACCCCCACTACTACTATTACTACCACCACTACTACTATTACTACCACCACTACTACTACCACTACTACCACCACCACCACTACTACCATCACTACTACTACTACCACAGCTACTACCACCACTACCACTACTACCAACACTAATACCACCACTACTACTACCATTACTACCACCACTACTAATTCCCTACTACAACCAGTACTGCCACCACCACTATTACTACTACCACAATTGCTGCCACTAATACCACTACAACCACCACTACTACCACTACGAACACTACCACCACTACTACCGCTAATACAACTATCACTACTACCACCACTACTGCCACCACTACTACCAACACTGCTACCACTACCACCATTACCAACACTACTACCACCACCACTACTAGTACCACAAATACTACCCTAACCACCTCCTGCACCACCTTCACTATCACCACCATCACCACATTAAGCCACTAACCCCACACGTGCCAACCAGCCGCCGCCACCACCACTACCACCACACCAGTAGGCTACTAACCCCACATCTACCAACCAGTCACCACCACCACACCATTAACCTACTAACCCCACGCCTACCATAACTATCACCCACAGCATCCGGTATCGTGGCAGCCAAGCCAAGATGGGATGAGGTTGATTGGACACATGCTGCTCAACAAATACATGAAGGGAGAGGTTGGTCCTGCCTCGAGCGCCGCTATCTTGGGTCTCAAGGTGGGTGGAGGCAAGATACTTGATGGAGGCAAGATTGGAGCTCTCATTGAGAAGGTTAAGAAAGGAAGCATAGCAGATACTGTTGGCCACCTAAGACCAGGTGAGTGTGTGTGTGTGTGTGTGTGTGTGTGTGTGTGTGTGTGTGTGTGTGTACTCACCTAATTATGTAATTATTATTGTTATTATTATTATTATTATTATTATTATTATTATTATTATTATTATTATTGTTATTATTAATTTTAATACACCGTCCGTCCCCGTCGAGGTAGGGTGACCCGATGAAGAAGAAAACACTCTCACCATCACTCTTTCAATCACTGTCTTCCAAGTAGGTCGCAGACATCAGAGTTCAGATGACCCTCCAAACCACAATATAACCCCCCTCCTCCCTTCATAGTGCAAGCACTGTACTTCCCACCTCCACCCCTCCTTCATAGTGCAGACACTGTACTTCCCACCTCCATAATTCAAGTCCTAATAGCCGGTTTCCCTGTATTCCCTCATAAATATTACATTGCTTACACTCCAACAGCCCGTAAAATCATAAAGCGACTTTTCTCTACTTACTCCTGTCTAACACGTTCACACTGGCCTATTGGCTGTCCGAGCTCCTAGTACTCCAAACATTCTTAATTCCCCTCCAACGTTTCCTAGGACGACTCCTAGCACTTCCCTCCACCCTAGATTTATTCACTTTCCTAGTTATCCTATTTTGCACCATCCTCTCTATTCAACCATCTCAACAATTCCCCTCTGGACAATACATTTAGAACCTCCGCACCTCGTAATCTCCAAACTACGGATTTTCTGCATAATATTCCCACACACCACACACTGTCTTCAGACAACGTTCAAAACCCATGCTTCACACCTACATAAGAGAGTTGGTACAACTATGCTCTGGTACATCACCTATTTTACCTCATTGTATAACGTTCTTGGTTTCCACAGATGCCTCACTGCACCACCTACTCTATTTCGTTCACCAGTTCTATGGTTCACCTCATCTCTCATAGAACCAACCCACGACAGGTTCACTCCTAAAAATGTGAACACATTTATTTCCTCCACACTCCATCTCTCCAGTATAATATCCTATCTTTCATTGCCTATTTTTTTTTTTTTGTTCCTCTAATCACCTTGCTCCTTCCTGTGTTCACTTTTAATTTCTTTCTTTTACAAACCTTCCCAAATTCGTTTACCAGTCTTCGCAACTCCTCTTCAAAATCTCCCAGAAGCACAGTATCATCGGCATGAAGTGACTGTGACAACTCCCACACACTACCAGACTCACTATCTTTCAATCCCACTCGTCTCCCCAACACCCCAGTGTTCACTTCTTTTGCAGCTCCATTTGTAAATATGTCAAACAATCGTTGAAAATATTCCCCCTTTATTTTTTTATATCTTAACTTAGCTTCACTATCCACATAAAACCTCTTTACCGCTTTCGGTAACCTAACACCTTTTCCATACACTTGCAGATCTGTCATGTTGCTACCCTATCCGCCCTATCATATACCTTTTCCAAATCTGTAAGTGCAATGAAGAGGTCCTTACTGTTATCTGTGTGTTCACTTATGTGGTTCAATGTAAATATTTGGTGCACACATCCTCTTCCTTTCCTAACATCTTGTTCTTCTGCAATCCTGCAGACAGACAGAAAGGCAGCATGAGACAGCCAGAATTTATACAGGGACTGACACACTTAACCTAGCTCTTTCTCTCTCTCTCTCTCTCTCTCTCTCTCTCTCTCTCTCTCTCGTTCTCTATGTTTTCTCTTTTTCTTTATCTTTGTCTCTATGCATTCATGCATATGTATATATATATATATATATATATATATATATATATATATATATATATATATATATATATATATATATATATATATATATATATATATATATATATATATTATTATCACACTGGCCGATTCCCACCAAGGCAGGGTGGCCCGAAAAAGAAAAACTTTCACCATCATTCACTCCATCACTGTCTTGCCAGAAGGGTGCTTTACACTACAGTTTTTAAACTGCAACATTAACACCCCTCCTTCAGAGTGCAGGCACTGTACTTCCCATCTCCAGGACTCAAGTCCGGCCTGCCGGTTTCGCTGAACCCCCTTTATAAATGTTACTTTGCTCACACTCCAACAGCACGTCAAGAATTAAAAACCATTTGTCTCCATTCACTCCTATCAAACACGCTCACGCATGCCTGCTGGAAGTCCAAGCCCCTCGCACACAAAACCTCCTGTACCCCCTCTCTCCAACCTTTCCTAGGCCGACCCCTACCCCGCCTTCCTTCCACTACAGACTGATACACTCTTGAAGTCATTCTGTTTCGCTCCATTCTCTCTACATGTTCGAACCACCTCAACAACCCTTCCTCAGCCCTCTGGACAACAGTTTTGGTAATCCCGCACCTCCTCCTAACTTCCAAACTACGAATTCTCTGCATTATATTCACACCACACATTGCCCTCAGACATGACATCTCCACTGCCTCCAGCCTTCTCCTCGCTGCAACATTTATCACCCATGCTTCACACCCATATAAGAGCGTTGGTAAAACTATACTCTCATACATTCCCCTCTTTGCCTCCAAGGACAAAGTTCTTTGTCTCCACAGACTCCTAAGTGCACCACTCACTCTTTTCCCCTCATCAATTCTATGATTCACCTCATCTTTCATAGACCCATCCGCTGACACGTCCACTCCCAAATATCTGAATACATTTACTTCCTCCATACTCTGTCCCTCCAATCTGATATTCAATCTTTCATCACCTAATTTTTTTGTTATCCTCATAACCTTACTCTTTCCTGTATTCACCTTTAATTTTCTTCTTTTGCACACCCTACCAAATTCATCCACCAATCTCTGCAACTTCTCTTCAGAATCTCCCAAGAGCACAGTGTCATCAGCAAAGAGCAGCTGTGACAACTCCCACTTTGTGTGTGATTCTTTATCTTTTAACTCCACGCCTCTTGCCAAGACCCTCGCATTTACTTCTCTTACAACCCCATCTATAAATATATTAAACAACCACGGTGACATCACACATCCTTGTCTAAGGCCTACTTTTACTGGGAAATAATTTCCCTCTTTCCTACATACTCTAACTTGAGCCTCACTATCCTCGTAAAAACTCTTCACTGCTTTCAGTAACCTACCTCCTACACCATACACTTGCAACATCTGCCACATTGCCCCCCTATCCACCCTGTCATATGCCTTTTCCAAATCCATAAATGCCACAAAGACCTCTTTAGCCTTATCTAAATACTGTTCACTTATATGTTTCACTGTAAACACCTGGTCCACACACCCCCTACCTTTCCTAAAGCCTCCTTGTTCATCTGCCATCCTATTCTCCGTCTTACTCTTAATTCTTTCAATAATAACTCTACCACACACTTTACCAGGTATACTCAGCAGACTTATCCCCCTATAATTTTTGCACTCTCTTTTATCCCTTTTGCCTTTATACTAAGGAACTATGCATGCTCTCTGCCAATCCCTAGGTACCTTACCCTCTTCCATACATTTATTAAATAATTGCACCAACCACTCCAAAACTATATCCCCACCTGCTTTTAACATTTCTATCTTTATCCCATCAATCCCGGCTGCCTTACCCCCTTTCATTTTACCTACTGCCTCACGAACTTCCCCCACACTCACAACTGGCTCTTCCTCACTCCTACAAGATGTTATTCCTTCTTGTCCTATACAGGAAATCACAGCTTCCCTATCTTCATCAACATTTAACAATTCCTCAAAATATTCCCTCCATCTTCCCAATACCTCTAACTCTCCATTTAATAACTCTCCTCTCCTATTTTTAACTGACAAATCCATTTGTTCTCTAGGCTTTCTTAACTTGTTAATCTCACTCCAAAACTTTTTCTTATTTTCAACAAAATTTGTTGATAACATCTCACCCACTCTCTCATTTGCTCTCTTTTTACATAGCTTCACCACTCTCTTAACCTCTCTCTTTTTCTCCATATACTCTTCCCTCCTTGCATCACTTCTACTTTGTAAAAAACTTCTCATATGCTAACTTTTTCTCCCTTACTACTCTCTTTACATCATCATTCCACCAATCGCTCCTCTTCCCTCCCGCACCCACTTTCCTGTAACCACAAACTTCTGCTGAACACTCTAACACTACATTTTTAAACCTACCCCATACCTCTTCGACCCCATTGCCTATGCTCTCATTAGCCCATCTATCCTCCAATAGCTGTTTATATCTTACCCTAACTGCCTCCTCTTTTAGTTTATAAACCTTCACCTCTCTCTTCCCTGATGCTTCTATTCTCCTTGTATCCCATCTACCTTTTACTCTCAGTGTAGCTACAACTAGAAAGTGATCTGATATATCTGTGGCCCCTCTATAAACATGTACATCCTGAAGTCTACTCAACAGTCTTTTATCTACCAATACATAATCCAACAAACTACTGCCATTTCGCCCTACATCATATCTTGTATACTTATTTATCCTCTTTTTCTTAAAATATGAATTACCTATAACTAAACCCCTTTCTATACAAAGTTCAATCAAAGGGCTCCCATTATCATTTACACCTGGCACCCCAAACTTACCTACCACACCCTCTCTAAAAGTTTCTCCTACTTTAGCATTCATGTCCCCTACCACAATTACTCTCTCACTTGGTTCAAAGGCTCCTATACATTCACTTAACATCTCCCAAAATCTCTCTCTCTCCTCTGCATTCCTCTCTTCTCCAGGTGCATACACGCTTATTATGACCCACTTCTCGCATCCAACCTTTACTTTAATCCACATAATTCTTGAATTTACACATTCATATTCTCTTTTCTCCTTCCATAACTGATCATTTAACATTACTGCTACCCCTTCCTTTGCTCTAACTCTCTCAGATACTCCAGATTTAATCCCATTTATTTCCCCCCACTGAAACTCCCCTACCCCCTTCAGCTTTGTTTCGCTTAGGGCCAGGACATCCAACTTCTTTTCATTCATAACATCAGCAATCATCTGTTTCTTGTCATCCGCACTACATCCACGCACATTTAAGCATCCCAGTTTTATAAAGTTTTTCTTCTTCTCTTTTTTAGTAAATGTCTACAGGAGAAGGGGTTACTAGCCCATTGCTCCCGGCATTTTAGTCGCCTCATACGACACGCATGGCTTACGGAGGAAAGATTCTTTTCCACTTCCCCATGGACAATAGAAGAAATAAAGAAGAACAAGAGCTATTTAGAAAAAGGAGAAAAACCTAGATGTATGTATATATATATGCATGTGCGTGTCTGTGAAGTGTGACCAAAGTGTAAGTAGGAGTAGCAAGATATCCCTGTTATCTAGCGTGTTTTTGAGACAGAAAAAGAAACCAGCAATCCTACCATCATGCAAAACAGTTACAGGTTTCTGTTTCACAGTCATCTGGCAGGACGGTAGTACTTCCCTGGGTGATTGCTGTCTACCAACCTACTACCTATATATATATATATATATATATATATATATATATATATATATGTATATATATATATATTATATATATATATATATATATATATATTATATAATATATATATATATATATATATATTGTATGTGTATATATATATATGTATATATATTATATATATATATATATATATATATATATATATATATATATATATATATATATGTATACATATATATATATATATATATATATATATATATATATATATATATATATATATATATATATATATATATATATATATATATATAGTCACTTCAGATATATATACAATTATATAATTTAATTTAATAATATATAAAATTATTCTAGAAGGGAGATGTGCTCCGAGAATACTGACAGAAGTAACTGTAAGAAACGGCATGCAGGCTGGCAGGCTGGCAGGTTGGCAGGCTGGCAGGCAGGCTGGCAGGCATTAGAGGATGGTGGAGGATGAGAGGGGGGCTTGTGTATGGGCGTGGAGGGCGTGTATGGGAATGGAGGATATGCATATGGGCGTGGAGGGCGTGTGTATGGGCAGCGCGCCATGGAGTGTGTCTAGACACTAGCCCGGCCCTCCATGACTCATCTCCTCTACCAACTGTCTCCTCCACTATACCCTCTACTATCTCCTCCACTGTCTCCTCCACTATCTCCTCCACCGTCTCCTCCACTGTCTCCTCCACTATCTCCTCCACTGTCTCCTTCACCGTCTCCTCCACTATCTCCTCCACTGTCCCCTCCACTATGTCCTCCACCGTCTCCTCCACTGTCTCCTCCACTGTCTCCTCCACTGTCTCCTCCACTATCCCCTCCACTATCTCCTCCACTGTCTCCTCCACTGTCTCCTCCACTGTCTCCTCCACTCTCTCTCTCCTCCACTGTCTCCTCTACTATCTCCTCTACTATCTCCTCCACTGTCTCCTCCACTATCTCCCCCACCGTCTCTTCCGCTGTCTCCTCCACTATCTCCTCCACTGTCTCCTCTACTATCTCCTCTACTATCTCCTCCACTGTCTCCTCCACTATCTCTTCCACTGCCTCCTCCACTTTCTCCTCCACTTTCTCCCCCACTTTCTCCTCCACTTTCTCCTCCACTATCTCCTCCACCGTCTCCTCCACTTTCTCCTCCACTTTCTCCTCCACTTTCTCCTCCACTTTCTCCTCCACTGTCTCCGCCAATAATTTTCATTCACAAACTAGTTAAAATTATTATTATTATTATTAAAGGTTTAATTGTCTGCTAATTATTATAGATTATCATAATTTTTTCTTGTGAAACGTTATATCCGCATGGTTGTTTGGAGGCTCGCACCTCCGTCCTCTGAATGCGAGAGGGATAACTCAGCTTACAACGTCTTATTTTAAACGTTGCAGTTTCACTCCTTCATTTGTTAGCAAGAAAATAGCGTGTAGAACTTAGGTGCTGAACACAGAAGAACACAAGAAAAACAGGTGTTCTTTTGTTGTCTTCATCCTGAGTAGCAATATTCTGATGATAAATGTGTGTTATTCCCCTTCCTCTTTCCTCTCTCATTCCAGGTTAATGAGATTGTGGTTGTCTTTTTCACCGCCTTCTTCCTTCTGCGTCTCCCTTTTTTTTCTTGTCCATTGTACTCTCTATTCTCTCTTTTCTGTATCCCTTATCACCTTCATTTGCTCCTTAAAATGCCTCTAACCTCTCGGTTATTTCGCCTCTACTTTCTCTATTTCCTCCATAAAACACTAACTTCTCCACTCCCTTCCATTAAGTCATGTAACTTGGTAAATATTTTGTATACCTGTGTTAGTATATTTCGACGTACACTAATAACCCGCACATAGAAGAGAGGAGCTTACGACGACGTTTCGGTCCGACTTGGACCGAAATGTAGTCTATGTGCGGGTTATTTGTGTATCGTTCCAGTCACGATATTGTGCCTTTTTTTGTTATATATCGACGTGCATGCAAATACGACACAAATACGTGGTTTATTAAAAAAATAATATCTCAAACTGAGGTTTAGTCTCAAGTGTAAACCTTTCCCGTCACACCTGCTCTCACCCTCTGTCGTCTGGGTTTAAGAGACAGAAACATTTCGACAGATATGGTAGTGGAGAGATACAGTAGACTTAGCTTTTATGTGCACAACGTATCGTCTCACAGGTGAGCTTCTTAATGACTTGGAACTCACATGTCAACGAAATGCTGTCCCGGTAATTGCTGGCTTTCCTGTAAGTGATTTAATACCCTTGTTTCAACCCTGGCTTCATCATCCCTAATGTCTCCTTCTCAGCCTTTATATTTCACTAGCACTCTCGCTCTAGGCAGAGACTTACCGAGAGCGAGACGTCCTGCTTCCGTAACTGTCAGCAGTTCGACTCTGTTTTCACCATTTTATTAATCCCACTGCTTGCCCACCAACTGCTTCTCTAGCCCTCCACTAACTACTCCACTGCACTCCATCCCTTCTTCCTCCTCCTCCTCCACAGGGGACGAAGTGTTAGAATGGAATGGGCGCTCGCTGCAGGGCAAGACCTACGAGGAGGTTTACGACATCATTGCCGAGTCCCGTCAGGAACCCCAGGTCGAGCTTATCGTCTCCAGGCAGCTCTCAGACGTGGGCAGACAACCCATACGGCGGCACACGCAGGCCGGTCTATCCTCCAAAGGTGAGTCCTGGGAGGGCTATGGGGGATCCTGGAAGATAAATGCAAGTGCTAGGAGGATCAGGAAAGTGCCACTCTTAAAGAGAGGACAAGGAAAGTACACTGGAGAGTGGGTGACTAAGAAAGTAGCCAATTTGTCTACTTTTATTTATCAATAACCTTATTTTAATCTTTTGTTTTCTTTATTATCTTGATTAAGCCTAGTAATGAAAGGTCACATGTTCTTCTGTGTCACTGATTCTGCTACCTTATAATAACTTTATTAATAACCCTCTGGGAACCTATCGTGGGAGGTTGTCAGAGCTTGGTAAGGATTACCAACATTTCGCCGCCCCCACCACGCCCACCTTAACACCCACATGTCTGTATAGCCTTCGAGCTTATAGACAGTCTCCTTCAACCTTCCTGCCCGCGCCTACGTCCACGCCCACACGTCTGCTTGTCCCGCCAGGTGAGACGTACGAGCACAGGAAGTTGTCTGAGCCAAGTCGTGACCGTCGGCCGAGTGTTACTATCACCTCCCCCGGCTCACCTGAGACATACCGGATACGAACCCACTCTCCTTCCATCATAGGCAAACTTCAGGTGAGTGAGGGAGAGCGATGAAAGTGAAGGGAAAATGAGGGAAGGAAGTACGGAAGAGGTGGAGGATGACAGGAAAAGGTACGGTAGTGAGTATATGTATGCATGCATGTGCGACTTGGTCAGGAACTGGCCCGCGGGGGCGTTGACCCCAGAAACAAGCATATTATATACATATATATATATATATATATATATATATATATATATATATATATATATATATATATATATAATATATATATATATATATATATTATTTGTAGAAGCATATCACATCGGATTTAAGACCAAAACTTTTATCTATATTAAAGAAGCTAACGAAGCTTGTGTATTGTATATTTCGTGGTCTTAAAAATCATAGCGAAGCGCTAAACCCGTAAGGGTAAACTGGGTCATACAGGTGGTCTTAAAAAAAAAAAAAAAAAGTGATGTTAGGTAAAATACTTGAGTTAGTCCTCTCGGTGAAGTGACAGAAAACAGCTCCACTTATGGGTAAACTGAACTGTATTGTTTGTTTTCTCTGGTTCTTTAATTTTTAATGGAGAGAAAGAGAGAGAGCATGTGTACTCACCTAATTGTACTCACCTAATTGTGGTTGCAGGGGTCGAGACTCAGCTCCTGGCCCCGCCTCTTCACTCCCTGCTCTGGAAGCTTTATCATACCTCTTAATAATAATAATAATATAATAACTTTATTTACAAGTACATGTACAAGGTATACAGTACTAGCTGACATCAATGACATACTACTATATAGAAAGCCGCTTGTTATTATGCTGAGCATTTCGGGCAAATTAGGACAGTTTTGTCCCAGGATGCGACCCACACCAGTTGACTGACACCCAGGTACCCATTTTACTGATGGGTGAACATAAATAACCAGTGTAAAGAAACACGCCCAATGTTTCTACCCTTGTTGGGAATCGAACCCAGACATGTGTATTGATCCTGCCTCCACTACATCACTCTCCAGACTGTTGCACTTCCTGACAACTCTATGTCTGAAGAAATACTTTCTAACATCCCTGTGACTCATCTGAGTCTTCACCTACTTGTGACTCCTTGTTGTTGTGTCCCATCTCTGAAAGATCCTGTCCCTATCCATCTTGTCAATTCCCCTCAGTATTTTATATGTCGTAATCATGTCCCCTCTATCCCTCCTGTCCTCCAGTTTCGTCAGGTCTATTTCCCTTACCCTCTTCTCTTAAGACATGCCCTTTAGCTCCGGCACTAGTCTTGCCCAAACTGGTACTGCATACTCCATATGGGCCTGACGTACACGGTGTACAGTGTGTTTGTGTGTGTGTGTACTCACCTAGTTCTCACCTAGTTGAGGTTGCGGGGGTCGAGTCCGAGCTCCTGGCCCTGCCTCTTCACTGATCGCTACTAGGTCACTCTCCCCGAGCCGTGAGCTTTATCATACCTCTGCTTAAAGCTATGTATGGATCCTGCCTCCACTACATCGCTTCCCAAACTATTCCACTTACTGACTACTCTGTGGCTGAAGAAATACTTCCTAACATCCCTGTGATTCATCTGTGTCTTTAGCTTCCAACTGTGTCCCCTTGTTACTGTGTCCAATCTCTGGAACATCCTGTCTTTGTCCACCTTGTCAATTCCCCTCAGTATTTTGTATGTCGTTATCATGTCCCCCCTATCTCTCCTGTCCTCCAGTGTCGTCAGGTTGATTTCCCTTAACCTCTCCTCGTAGGACATACCTCTTAGCTCTGGGACTAGTCTTGTTGCAAACCTTTGCACTTTCTCTAGTTTCTTTACGTGCTTGGCTAGGTGTGGGTTCCAAACTGGTGCCGCATACTCCAATATGGGCCTAACGTATACGGTGTACAGGGTCCTGAACGATTCCTTATTAAGATGTCGGAATGCTGTTCTGAGGTTTGCTAGGCGCCCATATGCTGCAGCAGTTATTTGGTTGATGTGCGCTTCAGGAGATGTGCCTGGTGTTATACTCACCCCAAGATCTTTTTCCTTGAGTGAGGTTTGTAGTCTCTGACCCCCTAGACTGTACTCCGTCTGCGGCCTTCTTTGCCCTTCCCCAATCTTCATGACTTTGCACTTGGTGGGATTGAACTCCAGGAGCCAATTGCTGGACCAGGTCTGCAGCCTGTCCAGATCCCTTTGTAGTTCTGCCTGGTCTTCGATCGAGTGTATTCTTCTCATCAACTTCACGTCATCTGCAAACAGGGACACCTCAGAGTCTATTCCTTCCGTCATGTGTGTGTGTGTGTGTGTGTGTGTGTGTGTGTGTGTGTGTGTGTGTGTGTGTGTGCGTGTGTGTGTGTGTGTGTGTGTGTGTGTGTGTGTGTGTGTGTGTGTGTGTGTGTGTGTGTGTATTCACCTATTCGTGATTTTAGAGGTCAAGAGTGTGTGTATGTTAACCTATTTGTACTCACTGTGTTGTGTTTGCAAGGTTCGAGACTTAGCTCCTGGCCCCGCCTCTTAGACCATCTTGATCGGCATCACCACCTTCGGGCTTATTGGGCCTCATCATATCTATTCTTGAAGCTGTGTAGTGAGTTTGCCTCCACCACTGCCTCATTCTCAAACTACAGAAATACTTCCTTACATTCTTATGGCTCATCTGTGTCTTCATCTTCCACCTGTGTCCTTTTGATTCAAACAATCTGTCCCTATCAGTTCCTCTTAAGATTTTGTGTATATTAATCATGTGTCTCTTTCCACGCTGTACTCTGTGTCCGGTCTGCCATTTCCTTCTCCATAGCATGACTGTGCTTTTGCTGGCGTTGAACTGGAGAAGTCACCTGTGTGACCACATCTCCAGTCTGATGTGGTCTCTGGAGTTTATCGATGTCTTCTTCTCTTCTTATTATTCTCATTAATTTTATAGTGTCAGCAAAAACATTGATACATAGGATTCAATCCTTTTTGGTAGGCTATTAAAGTGTGTGTGTGTGTGTGTGTGTGTGTGTGTGTGTGTTGTGTGTGTGTGTGTTTTGTGTGTGGTGTGTGTGTGTGTGTGTGTGTGTGTGTGTGTGTGTGTGACTGAGATTGTTCTGTTTATTAACAACTTTAACTATGTTCTCGTGGTGATTCAGGTGAAGCTATGGTTCGAGCCAGTGAACCAGCAGTTGGTGGTGACTATCGTGGGTGCTGCCGACCTGCCGCCCAGACACACAGGAGCGCCCAGGAACCCTTATGCCAAGATGTTCCTGCTACCTGATAGAAGGTGAGGGTGTGACTGATGGTGTGTGACTGGTAATGTGGTGTGATGGTGGTACCTTATGTGACATGTGACTGGTAGTGTGGTGGTGAGGTATGTGATGATGGTGTGTGTCATATAAATGGGTTGTAGTGTGGTGAATGGTGTGATGGTGTCCTCACCTATTTATGATTGAAGAGGTCGAATCACATCTCCTGGCCCCGGGTGGGGGTGTGTGGTGGTATATGGTGACGAAGAAACTTAGGTAATGTAGTTAGACACGTATTATTATGATTTAATATTATTACTACTATACCCACTTATAAATAAAAAAGAATCACGAGTATTGATAAATATTTTTTTTATTTAAAGAAATAACTAAACCAAATTTCCTTTCAAGTCTCGCTGTTTCACGTTCTATGAGAATCAATGTTCCGCTAAGTTAATATCTAAGTTAATATCTAAGTTAATATCTAAGTTAATATCTAAGTTAATATCTAAGTTAATATCTAAGTTAATATCTAAGTTAATATCTCTATGGCTCATTATCTATCATTTTGTCTGTATGTAATGTTAGGTTTTCAGTGTTAAATTTAATATCCTCAATGTTAACCTTAATATCTTTTATGTTAACTTTAATTTCCATAATGTTCTTCTTCTTATTATTATTAAATATTCGCCGGTATTCTCCCGGCCCGGGCCTTGTCCAAGTGGTGGCCCGGCCTTGGCTCCCTCTTTAGGGAGTGTCTGAGACCTAAGTCTGCCATGGGAGGAGGCACAGGTACCTCCTCATCTTTGGGACCAACTGTCCCCAGGCCTAGCCCCAAGCTAGGCCTCTCTGGTCTGCCATCCCCGCCACAAGGGGGCTAATGGGAATGACAGTCTTATGAGCTAAAGGTTCGGGCTCAGGCACCTACCCTACCCTAGAAAGGCTGGGCATGGTGTCGATTCCATAATGTTAACTTTAATGTCCTTAGTGTTAACTTTAATGTCCTTAATGTTAACTTTAATGTTCTTAATGTTAATTTTAATGTCCTTAATATTAAGTTAGCTTAAGTGTCCTCAGTGTTAGCTTAACTTTAATATCCTCAATATAAAGTTAACTTTAATATCCTCAATGTAAAGTTAACTTTAATATCCTAACTTCAAAATTATGGCCAAGTCCGTGTTCTATCACAACGGTAACTAATCCATTTTACCAGTCACTCCTGTCAATTTCTGATGGTAGATAAAAAGCTTTCTTTCTGGGAAATAATATTGTTTACGTAAACAGGCTAAACTTACAGGGCACGTACAGCACCTGGGAAATGGAAGAGTTGAAGGAAAGGGAAAGAAGGAGGAATAATAATGGGTTAATACGAGGCAAGGGAGAAAAATCTACAATTCTTTGGAGTAGACTTTCATTACAGAATAAATTTTCGCCTTCCATGAGAAAATGTTTTTCTTTGATGAGGGGTAATCAATATTTTTTTTTTCATTGTGCTTGTTTTCCCATTCTCCCCATTAGTGATGAACCCATTTTCTTTCTTCTTTCAAATTAACTCGTTTTCTTCCATGTATGTCTACGGTAGACTTCACGAGAATTACAATCCCGATTATTGAAGATTATGTTTCAGAATTATTGTGTGTGTGTGTGTGTGTGTGTGTGTGTGTGTGTGTGTGTGTGTACTCCACTAATTCACCTATTTATGGTTGCTGGGGTTGAGACTCAGCTCCTGGCCCCGAATCTTTACTGATCGCTACTAGGTCCTATCTCTGCTTCCTCCATGAGCTTCATCATACCTCGTTTTAAAACTATGTATGGTTCCTTCCTCCGCTACATCACCTGTCAGACTATTCCACTTCTTGACAACTCTATGACTGAAGAAATACTTCCTAACATCCCTTTGACTCATCTGAGTCTTCAACTTCCAATTGTGACCCCTTGTTTCTGTGTCCCATCTCTGGAACATCCTGTCTCTGTCCACCTTGTGTGTGTTCCACCTTATCTAGTCCTGTACTCACATAGTTGTGGTTGCAGGGGTCGAATCACAGCTCCTGGCCCCGCCTCTTCACTGGTCGCTATTAGGTCACTCTTCCCGCTCCATGAGCTTTATCATAACTCTTCTTAAAGCCATGTATGGATCCTGCCTCCAGTACATCCTTTCCCAGACTAATCCACTTCCAGACAACTCTGTGACTAAAGAAATACTTCCTAACATCTCTGTGAATCATCTGAGTCTTCAACTTCTAACTGTGATCCCTTGTTGCTGTGTCTCATCTCTGGAGCATCGTCTCTCTGTCCACCTTGTCGATTCCTCTTAGTATTTTATATGTCGTTATCATATCCCCCATGTGTGTGTGTGTGTGTGTTGTATGTATGTGTTGTGTTGTGTGTGTGTGTGTGTGTGTGTGTGTGTGTGTGTGTGTGTGTGTGTGTGTGTGTGTGTGTGTGTGTGTGTGATGTATGTGGTGTGTGTGTGTGTGTGTGTGATGTATGCATGTATGTGGTGTGTGTGTGTGTGTTGTGTGTGTGTGTATATGTGTGTGTGTGTGTATGTGTGTGTGAATGTGTGTGTGTGTGTGATGTGTGTGTGTGTGTGTATATGTGTGTATGTATGTGTGTGTGTGTGTGTGTGTGTGTGTGTGTTTGTGTGTGTGTGTGTGTGTGTGTGTGTGTGTGTGTGTGTGTGTGTATGTGTGTGTGTGTGTGTGTGTGTGTGTGTGTGTGTGTGTGTGTGTGTGTACTCACCTAGTTGTACTCACCTAGTTGAGGTTGCGGAGGTCGAGTCCGAGCTCCTGGCCCCGCCTCTTCACTGATCGCTACTAGGTCACTCTCCCTGAGCCGTGAGCTTTATCATACCTCTGCTTAAAGCTATGTATGGATCCTGCCTCCACTACATCGCTTCCCAAACTATTCCACTTACTGACTACTCTGTGGCTGAAGAAATACTTCCTAACATCCCTGTGATTCATCTGTGTCTTCAGCTTCCAACTGTGTCCCCTTGTTACTGTGTCCAATCTCTGGAACATCCTGTCTTTGTCCACCTTGTCAATTCCTCTCAGTATTTTGTATGTCGTTATCATGTCCCCCCTATCTCTCCTGTCCTCCAGTGTCGTCAGGTTGATTTCCCTTAACCTCTCCTCGTAGGACATACCTCTTAGCTCTGGGACTAGTCTTGTTGCAAACCTTTGCACTTTCTCTAGTTTCTTCACGTGCTTGGCTAGGTGTGGGTTCCAAACTGGTGCCGCATACTCCAATATGGGCCTAACGTACACGGTGTACAGGATCCTGAATGATTCCTTATTAAGATGTCGGAATGCTGTTCTGAGGTTTGCTAGGCGCCCATATGCTGCAGCAGTTATTTGGTTGATGTGCACTTCAGGAGATGTGCCTGGTGTTATACTCACCCCAAGATCCTTTTCCTTGAGTGAGGTTTGTAGTCTCTGGCCCCCTAGACTGTACTCCGTCTGCGGTCTTCTTTGCCCTTCCCCAATCTTCATGACTTTGCACTTGGTGGGATTGAACTCCAGGAGCCAATTGCTGGATCAGGTCTGCAGCCTGTCCAGATCCCTTTGTAGTTCTGCCTGGTCTTCGATCGAGTGAATTCTTCTCATCAACTTCACGTCATCTGCAAACAGGGACACCTCAGAGTCTATTCCTTCCGTCATGTCGTTCACAAATACGAGAAACAGCACTGGTCCTAGGACTGACCCCTGCGGGACCCGGCTGGTCACAGGTGCCCACTCTGACACCTCGCCACGTACCATGACTCGCTGCTGTCTTCCTGACAAGTATTCCCTGATCCATTGTAGTGCCTTCCCTGTTATCCTTGCTTGGTCCTCCAGTTTTTGCACCAATCTCTTGTGTGGAACTGTGTCAAACGCCTTCTTGCAGTCCAAGAAAATGCAATCCACCCACCCCTCTCTCTCTTGTCTTACTGCTGTCACCATGTCATAGAACTCCAGTAGGTTTGTGACACAGGATTTCCCGTCCCTGAAACCATGTTGGCTGCTGTTGATGAGATCGTTCCTTTCTAGGTGTTCCACCACTCTTCTCCTGATAATCTTCTCCATGATTTTGCATACTATACATGTCAGTGACACTGGTCTGTAGTTTAATGCTTCATGTCTGTCTCCTTTTTTAAAGATTGGGACTACATTTGCTGTCTTCCATGCCTCAGGCAATCTCCCTGTTTCGATAGATGTATTGAATATTGTTGTTAGGGGTACACATAGCGCCTCTGCTCCCTCTCTCAATACCCATGGGGAGATGTTATCTGGCCCCATTGCCTTTGAGGTATGTAGCTCACTCAGAAGCCTCTTCACTTCTTCCTCGGTTGTGTGCACTGTGTCCAGCACATGGTGGTGTGCCCCACCTCTCCGTCTTTCTGGAGCCCCTTCTGTCTCCTCTGTGAACACTTCTTTGAATCTCTTGTTGAGTTCTTCACATACTTCACGGTCATTTCTTGTTGTCTCTCCTCCTTCCTTCCTTAGCCTGATTACCTGGTCCTTGACTGTTGTTTTCCTCCTGATGTGGCTGTACAACAGTTTCGGGTCAGATTTGGCTTTCGCTGCTATGTCATTTTCATATTGTCTTTGGGCCTCCCTTCTTATCTATGCATATTCGTTTCTGGCTCTACGACTGTTCTCCTTATTCTCCTGGGTCCTTTGCCTTCTATATTTCTTCCATTCCCTAGCACACTTGGTTTTTGCCTCCCTGCACCTTTGGGTAAACCATGGGCTCATCCTGGCTTTTTCATTATTCCTGTTACCCTTGGGTACAAACCTCTCCCCCCCTCCTTGATTTTTTTTGCTATTATTCCATCATCTCATTAACGGCTTCCTGCCAGTTCTTTTCCCCACTAAACCCCGTTCAGGTAGTTCCTCTTTCCCTTTTGGGTAGCCCCCTTTCTTGAGTTTGGTTCATTCGTCCGGGCCCTTTTCCTGTTTCTCCCCCCACTTGGCTTACTGTGTATTCAAAGCTTAAAACCACGGGTCACGGGCCCCCCAAGGGGTTTTTCATATTGTTTCCCTCAAATCTGCACTATCAAGGGAATACTAAGTCCAGCCTTGGGGTTTTCCCCTCTCCCCCTCCTCTTTAGTGCCCCTTACGTGTTACACATGAATTTTCCAGTCCCCCTCCATCATCTTAGCCCTCCATGTATCTTGGCCCCATGTGGGCCCAAGTTTCCCAATCGATCCCTTTGTGGTTAAAGTCACCCTGTCGGGAGCTTTCCCCTCATGCTGAGCTCTTCGGGCCCCACTCAGCCAGTGGTCAACCACGCTCTATTGCTCTCG